CCCCTAAAAAAATAATTAATAAAAAAAGAATCATACTGCTGTAGATATACAATCCTATGAGGGGCAAGTCTTGCTCAGGGACACGTTTTTTACACAGGCTGCACAGGACATTCGCAAAAAAAAAGTCCAAAAATTAGTGCTGAAGCCTGAAGGAGCTACCCTTGAGGAGATGGTTGCTTGTGCTAGTACGGCCTTTTACAATAGGGAGCAGGAAGGGGAGGCTTGAGGCCAGGCTCGAGCCCAGGAGAAGGAGAGAAGGGAGGACATTAGGCATTCCCAGGTATTAGCTGCACTGGATAACCAATGCCCGTTGAATACTTCCCAGGTTTCTCAGACATTTGGACCAGGTACCAAATGCTACAGTTGCCAGCGACTGGGTCATTGGGCTAGGAATTGCCCTAATCGTAACAAACCTCTCGGATGTCATGTGTCTATTACAAGCAGACTGGCCACTGGATTGGCTTCTGTCCTAGGGCCCAAAACCTGGAGTGGAGGTGCCCATAGGCCAACGTGCAGCTGATAACGGAGGAGGAAAATTGAAGGTGCCCGGTCCAGGCGACCCAGCAGCAAGAGATAACTGTTATTGGTCTGGAACCTAGGGTGAGCATCGACGTGGCAGGAAGGTTAGTGAACTTCCTTTCAGATACTGGGGCCACCTTTTCTGTCCTTATTTCCTTCCCTGCACCCCTGGCACCACACACCTGCTCCATCCTGGGAGTGTCAGGAAAACCTGTAGCTAAACATTTTACTGAACCTCTCAGATGTCTATGAGATAACTTCTATTTTTCTCATAGCTTCCTATTAATCCCTGAATGTCCAGTTCCTCTCCTAGGCCGAGACATGCTGTCCATGCTACACACCTGCATATAGTCACCAGGCCTCATCCTCGTCCCTCTACAGCTTTCCAATTGTTCCTCATAGTGAAGGAGCCTCAGATTCCCCCACATGAACTATGGGAACAGGCCATAACTCCTGAAGTTGGGGACACAATAGTCCCCGGGAAAGCTAAGTATGCTACCTCTGTAAAGAATTTCCCAAGACGCGCTCAGAGGTCACCTTGCTCAACCTGTCCAGCGCAAGGGATCCTACCCTGGGGAAGACTGGCAGATGGATTTTACCCAGGTTCCTGCTGTCCAGGGATTTAAGTATCTTCTGGTGTTTATAGACACCTTCACTGGGTGGATTGAAGCATATCCCACCCGCATTGAGAAGGCTCATGAAGTGGCTCAAAAACTACTTCAGGAAATAATTCCTCGATTTGGGCTTCCCAAATCACTGCAGAGTGATAAGCGGCCTGCTTTCATCTCCCGAATCACTGAAGCAGTCTCCCAACACTAGGGAATAACCTATCATCTCCACTGTGCCAGGAGACCTCAATCTTCAGGGCAGGTAGAAAGAATTAGTCAACACCTGAAGTTAACCCTCAGAAAGCTGACACAAGAAACTCAGATGAGCTGGAAAGATGTACTACCCCTAGCTCTGCTATGTCTTAGGATTGTTCCACAGAAATCTATTTGTTTGAGCCCCTATGAAGTTTTATACGGGCGGCCTTTTCTTATACCAGAACCAGCTATAGTCACTGATGTAGCCTTAATACATCAATATGACACCCAAGTAACCCAATGTCAGGAGGCATTCCATCAGTTTGGGCTCACTCAGGCCCAAGGGGAAGAAAAGTTACCACCCTTGTGTCAGCCGGGAGCTCTAGATCTCAAAAATACTTGAAAGGATGGGTCCCCTAATTCCCAACTTCAGCCAGTTTGGAAGGGACCTTTGCAATAATTATTTCTATGCCCACTGCTGTCAAAGTTCCAGGGCAGAGTGCTTGGATCCACCATACACGAGTAAAACCCTGGAGACCATCACCATCTGACCCCTCTGAGGCAGAGGCTGCCGACAGATACTCCTGTGAGCCACTGGACAGTCATAAGATAGTATTTCATCATCACCCAAGGACAGATGAGGGCTACACAGTTAATTCTACCTCAGACCCCTCACATCCTTTAGGCCAGTGAATGCCTTTACCCCATTCCTGTATTTACAGTGACCAAACTCTCATGCCTGTTAGTCCCAAGATTTCTATTGATTGCCTATGACACTAACCTAACTTCAAGGGAACTGCCACTTTACAATCTTACCGTTGTCTCACCTAAACTGTTTACCTGTTTGTCTGTTTTTCCAACAGTTCTCAGGTCCCCAAGGCCTCTGAACCAAGTGTGCCAGTTCCAGGACCACCATCTCCTGAACCCACTTCGACCTTATCCATGTTGGGCCCTAAATGGACAACCCCTTCTAACAGAGTAGGAAGGGTATGAACCCCAAACCCCACTTCACCCCCTTTGCCAGCAGGAAGTAGCTAGAAATGTGTCATCGCCCAGAACCCCAAAGATTTGGGTCCATATCTTTTCAGGGGGGAATTTTATGTAGACTAGAGTAGGGCTGGGGGATGTCTGTTAACACATGCCCAAAGGGCCAAGTTACAGGAACAAAGGAGTTGCACACTGCACTTGCCCAGAGGCTCAGATTTCCTGCTGGTAGGTATGGGTGGGCGTGAACCTGAATTGGCGCACCTAGGCCAGGTATATTCAATTCAGCTAATGGGGTCAATCAGGGGTCCTCCACCACACCTCCCCGTGGAATCCTTGAAAAGGTAGGAGCCCAGGGAACTTTAGCAGAGAACTTTAGCAACAGAGCCTTGGGAGAACTTTGGAGGAACTTTGGGACACATTTGCGTGACGCCGAGCAGTTTCTAGACAAGCTGTATGCTCAGGAGGAGCCTCTCGGGTTCCGTGTAAACCTGAAACTTCTTCTCTCATAAAATTCACTTGGATCACAAACCAGGCTTCGGTGTGAATTCTTTCTCACACGTAGCCAAGGACCGAGGTATATCTAGCTACAGAGAGATCTAACAGTTTTTCTTGATTCTGGTGGCAACTCAGGGAGGTAAGTGCTTCAGAGATTCGTACATGAAGTCTGGGGATACAGCATCTGAACACATGACTCACTGTGTTTCTCTGAATCCCCAGGTGTCCTGACACAGGTGCAATTGTGAGTCAGGCCCTGAACTGCTGAAGCCCTCACAGACTTTGTCTGTCACCTGTGCTGTCTCTGGATTCTCTTTCATAAGTTACGGTGTGCAGTGGATCCGCCAGACCCCAGGAAATGTACTGGAGTGAGTTGGTGATATGTGGGATGATGAGAGCACAGACTATAATCCAGCTGTCCAGGCCCGAGTCAGCATCTCAGGGACACCTCCAAGAGCCAAGTTTATTTAAGACTGAACTCTGTGAATCTTGAGGATACAGTGTGTATTATTGTGCTAGACACACAGTGACGGGAAATTAGCGTGAGCCCAGGCACAAACCTCCTTGCAACAGGCCATGGTTTCAGCAGATGCAAGAGAATTAAGTCAGTGATGGTTTTCTCTCAGAAACTGTGGTTCCCCCACCTTGTCAGCATCTCTCTAGGGACTACTATGCACAGTGACTCTAGGGAATCTCCAGGCATCTGACCATGCTTCTTTTTATAGGGATGGCCCTTATCTATATTTCACCATCTACCCTAAGGCAGACTTCACAGTAATATGTATTAAGGAGATCTCAGTTTACATTGCAGGATACTAACTTGTGCCATTTGTTGTCAAGTTAGAAATATTCCAAAAAACTAAACCCACTGCCATTGAGTCAATGCCAATTTATACTTATGCCACTGTGAATTTCTGATTTTTACTTATGTGGAATTGCTGATCTTTCTTCCATGGAGAGGCTGGTAGTTGCAAACTGGCGAATGCAAATCTTAGCCCAATACATAACCACTATACCACCAAAACTCCTTATAAAAATATTAATGCACTATAAAATCCTAATGTGAGCCCCAAACTTTTTCTGATCCATCAGATGCATGTCCAATATATTCATTCCATTTAATACTCACAAATATACGTTTACATAATAATTTAAATTAGAATACCTGCATAATATTAATACTGTTAGGTATCTTTAAGTTGGCTTCAATTTACAGAGATCCCATGAACAACAATGAGGTAGTTAGTTTAATGTGCCAACCTGCCTGATAAACACATGTGGGTTTAATTGAAGGGCGGGGGAATAAATGGCTCGGTGAGTCTC